ATCGGCTCTTAAAACACCAATGTAATTGACATTTGAGACAATTTCGTTTCGATGATTGTTTGAATATCGTTGAATGCGTCCATGCTTGGCTCAGCCTCCAGCGGCCCTTCAACCTCATCAACGTACTGCCGAAAGGCGGGTTCTTCTAACGTGATTGCAATAGCGATGCCATCAGTTTCATGTACATCAACTGCGGATTCGCAGGGGGGGGGGGGGGGTGGGAAGGGGAGGGGGGAGGGGAGACCAAGAGTTTTTCGAATAGCAGCATTAGCGAGCAGCTGGCAAGTTCGACGAAATTGCGCTTGCCCAGGATATCGCCTCTTGGACATGCAGATTTCGCAAACGTGATGGCTCCTTTCCGAAACTGTTACAGAATGACGTCAAGAAAAGGAGGCGCGGGAGCACGCTAAAGCGCGACGGGTCGTCGTAAGCTTTGAGAAGCGGCGTTTCTGCATACTGTACAACATCACTTGCATTCAGCCTTTGAAGCTCGAGAAATTTGTGAAGTCCTGCGTCATGCTTCACAACATAAGAATCTACCTGAGAACGCATAAGAGAGTTGCTGTCTTATCATGGTATAACAACTTATTCTCCAAACAACAAATCCACAGATTTCTTCCTAACAACCTGTAAAAGAAGATCATCGTTGCGGCAGACGATATGATGGAAATGGCTTCAAAGTTTGTGACGTTCGTCTTAACAAGCATGTTCGCAAGTTTATTTGGGCTCTAAGAGAATCGTACAGCGCAGCAGCTGTTTTACCTTGCCTCCCTGAGACTGGAAAATTGGCATGTTGCATATGCAGGTTGTGCTATTCTGCTACTTATTCGTTTCTTTTTAACAATCCAGTCATTCCAACTCGTAAACCTGTGCGTGGAATAGACATCATATTCAGGTGTGCTTAGCGATATTAATCTTTGATTATTTCGATTTTTTTTGGTTTTAAGTTTCCAATTGCTCGTCCTTGTTGCGCAATTAAGATAGCTCTGATGGCCTCCTGACAAGGAACCGGCATTCATTTTTTGCGAACACATCTCAGCGTTTCGTTCGTGAGCTTGGAGCGTCCTCTTACCACTCTGGAAATGCGGACTGCTTTTGTTTTTCAGAATGGAAGTTCCGTTTCAAATTGAAGAAGAACACAAAAACAACAACATGATATTGCACTTCTGTTCAAGGTACGACAGTCTGGGAGGCACAAACTCCTCGAAATTTGAGCATCCGCCGCCTTCGACTTCTCTTGATTTATTAACCTTCTTTTTGAATTGCTCAGTTCCTGTCTTCTGATGAAGTCGGCGAATATACCAATGGGTAGATGAATTTATCGAAAAATCTTCGCTGATTCTGATGAGTGTGTATGGTGACTGTCACTATCAGTAGGTGTTCCAACACAAACGGAATTGTTCTCGAGAATCGGATTCGAAGTCCTCCTTATCAGATCAAGAAAGGGTTACCTGCGTAGAGCTTTGCATAGTCACGCTCGGCTCCACGTGATGTCGTCTTCTTAACCTTTTTTTAGGAAAAACTGATGTTTTCTAGACTTTTATCATGAGTTGTATAAAGATTCGTCTATAACAAACCTTTCCAACCAACCCTCCTCTTCCTTGAACGGAAGAATCAAGGGAGCTTTGTCGAACCCAAGGGCCTAGTCAGCAGAATTATCGAAAAGGCACTGTTCGTCTGATTTCTTGAGAAGATGATCTTCTCAGATAATCGCCGGGGGCAAGCGGTCCGCAAACTCGCGCTTTTCTGCAGGCGGTCAGCAGAATTTTGAGGCGTGGCCAAACATTCAGCGGGCGGCACTTCCTTTACGGTCGCATATTCTGCCAGCGGGCAGCAATACAGCATTTTTTGCAAGCTCTCGGCAAGTAATTTCTTTCAGCGAGCGCTGGCCGAACTTTCAGCAAGCGCTCGGACTCTTTTTAGGCATTTTTTCACCGTGCGGCCCTCGAAATTTTTGCATATTCTCGCGGAAAGTCCGCGAGAATGCGGCCACTGCGCCGCAGCTAATCCATAAAGAAACCGCGATTGTTCTTCAAGCATTCGTCTTTAATTTCGCCAACTTTCTTCCAAATTTCTGCAAGCGGGCCGCAAAAAATCAACGAACTATTTTTCCGGTGCGCGCTTGCTCAAAATTCGCATGGCCGCCTGCCCCCGGCGGTTATCTGAGTTCTTGCAACAAATGTCTCTTTCCCCCGGTTTTGCACTATATCCAAAATATTTTATATAGACTCAAAAATATGACGAAACATGAGAGCCTTACCTTCGTGCTAGTCCCTTTTTTGAAAGCCATCCCTTTTTCGATAACATTTGACCTGACCCAGTCACAGCGGTTGTGCCTCTTTCTACTAAGTGACCTCAAAACCAAAATCGTCTCGAAATTAGCTATGAGGATCTTGTATGCCGCACTTCTTCTTCCATTCTGAGAAAATAATTGACATTCGTGTCATTGAAGAGAACATCCCAATCGGCTTACTGTTTTCATTGTATTGTTCAAATTGTATTTTTTGGTTAACATTGTTTCATTCCAAAAAAGATATAAGCATACCTTTGAGTGACGGGGAGATCAAGGCGTTTGATTCTTGCATTCCTTTTTTACAATCTTCTGTGCCTAGAAAGTGTATCACACCAGCCGGATCAATGAATCGTTAAGTCCAGTCGGTAATTATCCAGCATGAACAGTTCGTTAGCATTCATTCCCCCCCTCACCCAAAAAATCTTACAATTTTTCTATTATTTTGAACCGACCAAAAATCCGATTCCAATATTATGTAAGTACTGATAAAAACAAGCAAGTGCAAGAACAACTACACACCTGTTTAAAGGAAGTTGTACAGTGGATAATAGGTGAAGAAGACTTTTTTTTGAATCTATTCAGGTAGTTTACGGCAAACTCTGATTACTCAGATTATCTAGATCTCCAACTACAATTTTGCATTGTCCAGCGAGTGCCTTGGTCTTCAGACTAGAGCGGTTTTGTTTAGCTTCATATCCGAGAGTGAGAGAGTACTCTGCGCTTGGCAGAGTTAATGTACACATTACATAGAGTCGTTTATACCAGCCTTAGTCATATTTGAAAGGAAACACGGAAAGAAGAGATAGAGAAAGAATAAAGGACAAATCATCTTACAACCAAAACTGGCAGCAGAAACGGAGAAACAGATTACCCACATATGTTCAAAGAGAGAAAGAGTAAAGGACAAATCATCTTACAACCAAAACTGGCAGCAGGAACGGAGAAACAGATTACCCACATATATTCAAAGTGTACCGGATTCGAAAACCTTTATCCAAATTTAGTTTTTTCGCATCAAAAATAAAAAGAGTAGCTTTGTTGCTCAATCCTTTTCTAGTTCTTACGCTATTTGGTATTTTTCAAATATTGATGCATGTATAATCATATATTCGGTTGTATTCGATTGTATTCAACAACAAAAATGTTCTCATGTGTTTAACAGAGCAATGGGTAGTCTGGTATCTTCGCTCAGTTTGATATTGAGAATAGCAAAAAGGGTTCACGGGAAATCAAGAAGAATTTTAAAGGAAAGTGATTCACTTTCAGAGGCTGTGACCGTTTGATATGAGATGCATATCATCCGAAGCAGTCTTGAACGCTTATTTCAAATGTGTATTCCTTTCTGAGAAAGGTTCTCTGCCGTTTAACCTTAGGCAAAGAAAGGCTAGGGTTGGTATTAAGATTTATTGCTTTCAATCAATTCTAGTGTAGGGCGTTATATTACAGAACCTTTACCACAGAGAGTGATCGCACAGCATCCAAGAGAAATGGTTAAAGAGAGAAGAAAATCTTCCGTTATGTGCTGCTTGCACATGTTCCTGATAGAACTAATCTGTTCGTATGTGCTCTTTCTCATCCGTACTAATCCAGACATCTGAATAAGTCGCTTACCCTATTTCTTCCTTAGCACATTTCGGGAGAGATCGGAGCGGGGCATGCTGTTGCTGCGGATTTGCCATCAACATCAGTGAGTAAAGTTACCATACGTAAATTTATCTTTTCTTTTGATATCAGACATCCAACGATCTGCAATCTTAGACTGGAGACATTTCAGCCCCATGTAGAGAGCTCTGTAGATGCCCACAGCACCCAGTATTAGATGATAGGTGTCGCGGCATCTTCGGAAATGTGAAAAGTTTTATTGAGGAAGTGCGGCGTCGGTTGGGACAGGACTGCGTAGGCACCACTTTTGAGGCAACAACACAGCTCACTTAGGGCCGCATGCACTAACATCCCCGCGGGGAGGGGATCGCACCTTAAAAGAAAGCTTTATATTTCGAAACTCCAGATACCTGGATTTCACGTTGTGTACCTATCCGTAAGTATTCCTACTACCCTTCACTATGAACATGGTGAAGAGGAGCGAGAAGCTGTACGAACCGCAATTTCCAGCTTTTGTATGATCCCTGATGATCCCTCGGCTCTTCTTTAAAGTCAATTTTCTTTCTCCGAAGTTAACGAATAACCTTCAAAGTTGTGCAGATTATCTAACCCGACAGTGCTAAGCATGTTGCTGATAAGAACAAATGATGTTTTAAAGTCATGAAATTTTCGATAATCCACATGTCGAAATTTGGGGTTCACCGAAAAATTCGAATTTTCAAAAACTCATATGTTCTCATCAGCAACATGCTTAGCACTGTTGTGTTAGATGTTCAGTACAACTTTGGAAGGTTTTCGTTAACTTAAACAAGTACCCCTCTTCCGAGTTGTCTGCAATATTGTTCTATTACCTTCTAAGAGGTATTAAATTCACTGACATGATCAACAGCGGACGATGATACATCTTCGAGAAGCCTGGCACTGTGAATCTGCGAGCGAAGTTCCTCACCGCCGTCGAAAGGGCAAGGAGTGACGCTCACTGCATCGTTTACATAGACGAGGCGTGGATCTACGACTGCATGGCACGGAAGAGGGATGGAACACCACAATCCCGCGGTTTGCCTCCGCCTTTACGAAGCAGGAGTACTCCTACGGGAAGACTGCCATGAAAAACAAGGAGCGGAAAGCGATAGTCATCGGTGCCGTGATTGAAATCAGGAGTCATAGCGAGCTGTACCAGAGTAATCTTCAGCGGCCGGATTACCTTCGGTTACATGGCGTCGTTGTTGAAGACAACAACGGTAAAGCCGACCTTCTAGCTCAAACCGCTACAAACAGCATTTCATCACCGTTTTGACTCTTAGTTAAGCGAATTCATTGCCAGCCACTGTGGCGTAAAAACATTACGCGGTACGCCGTCGAAAACATCTGTGCTGCTGTTGGAGCAGCAATGAAAAGCTTCCACCTTATCACTGCTTCTTCAACTCAAATGGACACTGTTAGGGTCAGCTGAAGGGCAACCTAGCCAAGTTCGGTGAACCGGGTGACTCCTTGCAACCAGTAAGTATTCATTCTTATTCTTGTGATACACAATGGTACACAGTGCCTACGGTCTAGCTCACACATTCGTGGTTAACACGCGCAGTAGATCCACCCACAAAACGGGGTAGCGCGGAAAAATGAGTACTGCTGCGGCATACGCGCTTTTGTTGCGACGTTCGGGCTAATCCCGAAACTAAAAAGGAGGCGAGAGAAATTCATAACACCCGTCGCGACTCCCGAAAGTGGTCTTGGTCGCGATTAGTCGTCTAAAATGGTCTTGTCTGTAATCACGCATGCTTCGCCCTGGGCGTCTAAATTCAAAAAGGAAGTTGCGCCGTTGTGTTAGTGGTGGAGCGGGCTGATTCTTCCGGTGAATCTTGCATCTAGTTTTTGATGTTTGTTGTTCGAATCTGTCTTATTGAAGTAGTCTAATACTTTGCTGGGAGAATTTGCTTTCATTCTGTCTTAAGTGTCGCTGTTTCTTTGTTTTTTGTTACGCATTGAAGGGTTAACGATCAGGATTCTTTTTTGTCCCACCTTAACGATTGACTTCTTGATTTGAGTGTTCGATAAGAGTTTCTTCTTCGTTACAGCATTTTCCAGTTCTTCTCAGCGTTCGTTCCGTTTCTTCATCATCTCGTTAGGAAGTGTATGACAAATGCGTTCAAACCCTCTATTCAGGTAGCAATTCGCATGCTTGACCCGTTGGGAGGCAAGCAACAGAGTTCGCCCTGGTTCGATAGTCTCTCCACATCGTCGACCGCAATGAACAGTAACTCGTCGGGTTCATCCGGATCACCACTGAGTCTCTCGTCTCATCTCAGAGACAGCTCAGACGCACTCTCACGTCCCACTTGGCTCTTCAATAGTCAGGTTGGTTCGTATTTTTGAACATTGCAAGGCTTTTCTGTAGTATCTCTGATCACAATGCGAAACTCTTAGCATTAATTCGATTTTTCTTCTCTATGACTTCTTTTTTTGCTCTTTGTTGCCCATTCTCTATCACCTGTCCATTGTGCATCCCTATGCTGAATTCTATAATTTCATGTACATGCTTTCATATACCCTTCCAATAAATATATATATATATCTTCAATTTAGGGGAGACCTGCGCGCTTATTCGTTCAAGCCGGAAAAGAACGAACTCGTTCCCCCGTCGGTAATATATATTAGATTGTCCGGAAATTAATGCAGGTTTCTGCAAATGCAATTTCAAAAGAATCATTCTTCTGTGTATGTGCATCTTTCGACTAATTTCGCATACTAAAAGAAGCCACTCCTCATGCTCTCTCTTATATGTACTACTTCTACGACCAACTTCATTTGTTTAAAATCTACAACCATCCGAAGATGAAGCTTCAAATTACTAAATTTACCCTTTGTACTATTTTGGCTTAAACTTATTCGGCAAGAGGGATATTTCCATGATAATATAGCTGAAGCAAGATATTGAGTGAACCTACAAAATAGATAGTAGCGCTTCTTTTGAACGATTGTGAGAGTAGAGAAACAACTGAGGCTTTAACATGATTAATCGTCGCGACCACTCCATGGCGTAGAAAACTTTTCTAAAAAAACCAACCGTGAAGGTCTCTCCTTGTGCGTGAAGAGTGAGGCCAGTGCCGTCAGATATCATCTCAACTCGTACCTCCCAGGCTTTATTTTTGGTGAGTTATTTAAAAAAATCAAAATTATCGGAGATCACAGCTGTGGAGGAAATATCGAAAATATGGAAAATTTTGATTCCGCAAATTTTTCTTTTGCAGAAAATTTCTAAAATTTTTTTTGCATAGCTATATATGTAGTACTCGTCTGTGGCTATAAGCTACAGTAGTTTCTAGTTGAACACTCATATTCGGTAGGAGTTTACAACTTGCCAAGTATGACCTTGTCAAAAAAAATTCTTTTTACTTTCTGGCTTTCAGTAATTTGCTTGTTGCAGCTACAGTTACAAAAGAAAATTTCGCGAATAGGAAAGGAATTGCTGATCAAAGGAGTTATGACGCTTAGAAGTGAGAATATGCAAAACCTGCATTAATTCCCGGACAACCTAATACATCCTTTCTATGCACATCAGCCTTAAAATGGCATCTTTATTTCAGAAAAAACGCACTTGTACAGTTGCAGTGGCCACCGATCCTGTCCAGGTCAGGGATGAGGACAAAGAATATGAACTCGAAACACTTTGAAGCAATTCTATCACACATAAGCATTACTATTACTTTTGTTTGTTCCAACATGTTCTCATTATCACCGCACTAATTAGAAGAATTTCCATTTTTATATCCCATTCCACTTATGATGCTTTTGCTTATTTGTTTACATTCCTATAACTTGAAGATCCGAGGCCGTATTCATTATTCATACCTTAAGGTAAATCCTACTTCCAGGTAGTTTAATCACTCATTATCATAAGTTTTATTACTGATAATGACTGATAAAACTACCTGGAAGTATTTACCTCAAGGTATCAATGATGAATACGGCCTCTCAATTCACTTAGCCACTATTATACTCCCATTCCATTTATTATGGTGATCTTGCTTTGATTCGTTTGCACTCTAACTTCAAGATCTAAACAGGGCCCGGCACGAGCTTGTCAAATGACAAGCTGGAAATCGTTTTCGGCAAAAAAAGCAAAGGGGAAATCGTTTTTGCGGGGTCCGGGGCGGAGCCCCGGAAAAAAAATTGGTAGTGCACGTTCTCTGCTTATTTTAACATGTTATGTGCCTCAACATGCGAAGACTGGAGTTCGCGCGCGTCGAACCGCGCCGTCGCTAATTGCCGCACGCGCGACGTCGCTCAAACGAGCTATTTGTAACGGCATACATGACTAGTTCTCAATGTACGCGTCACGGTATGACACCAGATTTTGTAGGCGAACGGAAAGAGGCTAGTGGAAACAAAGTATGAAAAATTATGAAAAACTTATGTGAACGGGACGAGTAATAAGCATTTTTTCCAAAGATTTTGCAAAATTGGTAAATGAAGTTGTAAATTCAAATGGCTCGTTTGCAACGCGCAGATGACGATATGGTATGAAACTTGGTACGCACGTGGACACAAGCCTGTAGGAGCTAACTTAGGAGTTTCATTGAAAAATTATGTGACTGAAGGTTGTGGCAAAGTTTTTTCTGAAAATTTCCCGCTACTAAAGAAATGGAAAAATGGCTCGTTTGCAACGCAGAGGAGACGAAATCGCGCGGGATTCGGTGTGTATATGCGCAGTAGGACTAAGTAACAAAGTATGAAAAATTATGAAAAACTTATGTGAATGAAGAGTTTCCCCAACTTATTTTCAAATTAGCTTGTCATTTGACAAGCTAATGACAAGCTGAGCTTGGCAAAACTCTCAATTCACATAATTTTTCTAAAATTTTTACATAAATCTACTCTACGCCTAAACATTAGTATATACTGAAAATTTGGTTCCAAACCTCCTCCTCTCCCCATTGCTAGAGGCAAAAATAGCCTCAACAGCCCCGTTGTTTAAGGAGAAAAGCGCGCTCCAATCGATATGCGCGAAGACGGCGTCTCTCATTGCTATAACCGGGGTTGCTTCAATATTTTCTTATTTTTTCTACTTGTTTTTCTTTTCCTCGTACACTTTTTGTAACCATAGTAGACTGTTAATGTTTTGCCATGACTTTGAGTGCAGTTTTTCGGTGTCGTTCGATCATTTGCTCTCTGATTGTGCTATAATTTGGTAGGATGTTGAATATGCCTACTACGCATCCGTTATTGTAATTATGTCCATTTGTTCTATCATCGTGAATGTACTCCAGATTAGTGGACAACGACAAAAACGGTGATTTTTGTTTGTTGTGTGCGTATTGGATTTAGAATTTTCAATTGCACCTTCATCATAAGGCTGTTAGACTTAATGAAATAGTTTGCGGCCATATCTATACCAGCATTTGAGAATATCATTCTCAAATGATTCTCATAATAACGCCCCACAGCCATTTCAGTTTGCTTGGCATGGTTCATTCGAGTAGCGAACTGGATGTGATTCGCAACGTTGCTGCCGTTATTCGTATGTGCAGTGAGCAAGTAAGTTTCGAAAAGACTTTTTTCGGGATTTTGCATCCATCTTGTTTCTAACTTGTATTGTCGATTCGTTGGCCGCACGAACTGCTCAAACGCTGCGGACCACGCGCGTCGCGGTTGAATTGTTGCAATAGCGCGATTTGTACAATGGCGAATTTATACTGGAGCAAGCGTTTCACCTCGCTGAGCTTGCTCCGCAATGATGTCCAGTCCGTGCAGTCAACGAATCGACAATACTTGGTTATATCCTTTTCATTCAGCCTCATGGCTGTATCGTTAAATGTGATGCTGCGCTCATTCAACGAATTTTGATTGTGAATGAAAATGTGCTCATCGGCGACTCTGCTGCTGTCACTAAAGTGTTACCTGCCTTATCGTTTCTGTTAACCAATATCTCAACATTTCTGAGGATAGACTTGTTAAAAATGCGCATGGTACTCATTTTTACTCAGTAAATATTCAAAACATGTACTGTTTTGTGGACCCCATTCTCCCCATATTATCGAAATCGCAAAGTAAAGGAAACGTTTTTCAGCTTGTTGCTTTTGCATCAGGAGTCCTGTAATAGGTAGACTTAATTTGTATTTTTTGGCTGTAGTATTAAGGAACAAGATTTCCCATAAAGGGTCAGCTTGTTAGATCGACTATATACCCAAGACCTATCAATTTTTGATTCACTAGAGAAACCCAGTTTAGGTTTAATAAGTTACCTTTTCAACGTAACTTGTTAAACCTGAACTGGGTTTTCTTTTTACCGTTTATCATAAAGAAGTACAGCGTACTGGGCGCTGAACGAACGCTTTTTGATTTGTCGAATAGGCTTCTTATGAGAGTCATGAGGCTAGTGAGACTCATTCTCCTTTGGCTTTTTTGTCCTCAGTTGGACCTTCTTTCTTTTTTATTGAACTTGTCAGTTGTTTTCTTTCCAGTTTGTCGGGTTTCTCAGCTTATATCTGGATGTGTTGTTTATACGATTATCATAATGATATTGCAATTTAGCAGTCTGTGACGGGTGATTGTGCGCTCTTGACATCATCGTTAAGGCTTGACACATACCTCGCGTCTGTTGTCTATATGTAGCGGTGGCAGCAACGCATTTGATGCGCATCGATTGCGGCGGAGTGACGCTGCTGTCTTTCGCTGCAGCAGCTAGCACAAAAGGTCATGTCCATACCTAGCGAGTCATTTTGAGCAGCGCTGCTCGAGCTGATCAGCGCTGCAGCTGGGTTTGCAGTCAACTTACGCTCCCTTTCATGAGCTTTTCTCAGCTGCTTGAAGCTGCAATCAGCTGTTTTTGCATGAAACTACGAATTTTTTACCACTCTTCAAGCTGCAACTTTATTCAGTGGATTTTGATCATGATTATTGCCTGAAAGATTCTAATTCTGCTGGGACAGTTAACGGTCTCTACGCTCAAACATCAACCTTTTATATGCTCGTATTGGGGCTACTTTTCCACCTGATGGTGAAAATGAAAACATGTACATAGGACTTTTAAAAGAAACGGAACATGATTTCTAGGTCTTAATTCCTATTCAAAGTAATGTAATTCAGCGATAGAGCAGTGATTCGGTCAGTTGCCCAAAAACCCAAAAAACAACCGGATTGCAGCGCTGATCAGCTAATATTTAACTGCTCGCGGGTTTTGTCCATACCTTTGCAGTGAGATATGTATCAAGCCTTAATTGTCCTTCCTGCTCTTCCAGATCAGACACTTGGAAGACTTCGTATTTCCTTTGGTCATAGAAGTAGGATTTTCACAGCTGCGATGGCCGATATAAGTGCGCAGTCAGAAGAAGAAAAATATTCACAGCATTCGTTGTTTTTTAAGATTTTTCTTTCAATGAAATTTTTTTCTCCTTATAAAGCGTCCGCGGCACAATAAGGACCACTTTTTGGGTCAAAGAGGTATTCGTAGACAAATTTTGGGTCAAAGGGGAATTCGTTTTCGAAAACCCCTTTTGACAAGCTCGTGCCGGGTCCTGGATCCAAATTCACTTATTTTGTGTGTGCACTTGTTATGAGAAGTTCTCAATAAACATCTATTTGAGTACTGATAAGAGAATAAACTTGAACACATGGGCATTCAATGCATTTTAAAAAATAACTAAGAGAACAGCGATGAGCGCAAATTGCGCCGTAATTGAATTCTCAACATTACCGGGTCTTGCGCTAAAGCTCAGTTTTTCTCCCGGTCTGCGTGAGTGCGGGAGAATAATTTGTCTCGTGCAGCATCTCCAATCACTACGCCGGTGTCCCGAAATTCTCGCGAATGTTTTAATTAAGTCATTCTGTCGCTACATAACTTTTCTTTGCGCGCGAGTCAACCACGAGTGTCTGAGAGGTTCGGATCAGGGCACCCGATTGGCCAGAAAACGTGCCTGCCAGAATGTGCCGCAAGTGGACTGACCATGTGATAGGCGAGGAAGAAGCGGCCAGGGACAAAATTGTGCTGGACCTTATCACGAGTGAGTGGCTGATGGAACTGCACGGCGACGTTGCGAGTTCCAGCTCTTCTGATAACGGGAGGTGGATATGGATGATTAAGAGTGGGAGGATTAGTAAAGTTACATGGCTTTGAAATTTTTATCTAACATTCACTCACCCTAGTATAAGCTGGTCTATTTTGGTTTTGCTAACCTCACCTGCTTGTTTCTTTTCCTTAGTTTCTTTCAATGAGTCCGTTTGTTCGTTCAAACTTTCCTTGCGATTAATAACTCTTTGATAATTTTAACTGCATTCTCACTAACACTCTCCTTGCGATTAGTGCCTCTTTGATATTCAAAACTCCATTCTCACTAACAATGTACACATCTTTCCACTTGTTTTTGCCGACTTATAAAAACACTCTCAAAGCTTTATGTTACACACAGTCATCTTAATAAAAAAAAACACTGCAACCAACGTCATGCGCAGTTGTATCCCCATGCAAATACCAATATCACATGTGGATGTAACGAACATTCGCTACTGCTGCTATAGAAGCTTGCCAGAACGCCACGATCGTCACAGCACGGAAAGGTTCGCCTTTTTCAAAAAGAAGGGAAACAGCTGTGCGCGACTGTAGGGGGCGAGAAAGGGGGGGGGGGGAGGGGAATAGGAGCGCGCAGCAGTGCTAAATTAGCATGCGAAGGTGCAAAACAAAATCATCCACGAATGGCGCATAGCCATGCATCGGAGTAATCATGCATAAAAGGCAGGACGTAATCCATCATACAAAGAAACACAAAGAAAACTGTGAAGGAACAAAAAATGGAACATTAATCACCACCAGCTTGTAAAGACGAACCTGGAATAGCGCTTACAATAAGACAAGTAGTAATCAAAATGTACGATAAAAC